CACGACCATTTAAAATAGGAATCTAAGCAGGGCGGTGGTGGTGCATGCCTTTAATCCCAGCACTCAGGAGGCAGAGGTAGGTGGATCTTTGTGAGTTCGAGGCCAGCCTGGTCTACAGAGCGAGATCCAGGAAATGTGCAAAGCTACACAGAGAAACCCTGTCTCAAAAAACCAAAAAAAAAAAAAAAAAAAAAAAAAAAAAAAAAAAAAAAAAAGGGGAATCTAATTGGGTGTTTCTAGACCAAATATATGGGCCTCCCAGTCCTGATGTTTTTGATTCGTAAAGTTAATAGATAGTGTCCTCTGAGACATGAAAGTTTTCAATTTTGAGGTTGAGGTTTTCTATTCTTTTCTTTCATTGCCTGTATTTTTGGTGTCTATTTAGGAAACTCTTCTAGTTCATTAGTCTATAAGTCACTTCATACCAGTACTATGCTGTTTTGATTACTTTGGCTTGGTTGTAAAGTTGACATCAGAACATGTGTGCCCTTTGACATTGTTCATCTTTAACAAGGCAACTCTGACTATTCTAGTTCCTTGAAATTGCCTGTGAACTTTAGGATGACTATCTTTACTTTTATCAAAGAGTAAGGCTTTGATAAAGATTGCTTTGTATCTAGATTATCATGGGTCGTATTGTTATCTTCCAGTGTCTTCCAATACACGAACACAATATATCCGGACATTTATTAAGTCTCCTGAAATGTCCGGTAGTAAAATTGTACAGTGTTCATCATCATCCTGGGAGAGTATGCAGCTAGGAAAGGACCAGAGGCTATGGAAGCTTATTTGCTCTAGAAAGGGAATAGATGTATAAATATGTTTGTTCCCTCTTTCAGCCATTCTGCTGCCTTTTTGGTAAAAATTTATGAAGTACTGATTTTGCACCAGGCATTACTGGGGACATCCCAGCAAGGAATGCAGGAGACATCTGGAACAACACCTGTGCTGAGGTACCTTGTATGTGGGACTTCATACCAAGTGCTGAAGGAAATAAAATGTCAGTGTTTATTCAAAGAAGGCCAATCAACTTGGAGGTCAAACATATAAGCCTTAGTACAATGGTGACACATGCATGCCTAGGTGAGGTCTACAGAGACAGTGTGCATGATGGGTGGGGAGCTGACAGGTCCAGGGGAGAATTAGCAGGAATGCTGTGGTGCCGAGCACACACAGCAGTTTGTCACAGAACTGTGTAGAGTGGCTATGGGATGGGCAGCAGGCTAAGTTCTTAGGAGAGGAGACACACATAAAAGAAAGTGAAGCATGGTGGCTGTGGTGGCGCACACCTTTAAACCCAGCACATGGGAGGCAGAGGCAGGTGGATCTCTGTGAGTTCCAGGACAGCCAGGACTACATAGAGAGACTTTGTCCCCCAAAAAAAAGGCATGAATCCAGAAGAAGCAGGAGGCATGCTGTAGCAAGGGAAGTGCGGCTTGGGTGGGAGGCCACAACTGGCCAAACGCTGTGTGATGCTAAGGTTGAAATATTACCCTGAAAGCCAAGGCGGAGGGACAAGCCTCTAACGGTGACATGTTTGGAGTCTCATTTCACAAGATAGTTATGATTCCAGAAAGAAAAAAGAGTTAGGAAATTAATCCAGGGATCAGGAGTGGGACACAACAAAGTTCAGGCAAAGACCAACGTAAGCCTGATCTAGAAGAGGGTACAGGGAACACTATGAAGGGTAGAAAGTGATTAGCCTTGTTTAATAGATACGAAGAAGAGGGAAGGAGAAATGCTGCTTCCTACCATCCTAGAAATCCGTGATCACAGAAACCCCAAGAAACCAATTCATGGGATTATGCTGAGCATCTCACTAGAGGTAAGTTATTGCTGTAATCTTGGGTACCTGCATGGAGGCTATGTCAGGCACCTATGTGATATGCAGGTACAGCAGTCCCTTGGTATCTGCAGGGGATTTGTTCCAGGACCCGCTACAGATACCCAAATGCACCAGTGCTCCAATCCCTTACATGAATACAAACAGCAGCAGCAGTGAGCTGGAGAGATGGATGAGTCAGGAAAGTGCTTTCTGAACAAGCCTAAGGACCCACGTCTAATGCTCAGCACCCACGGAAAAATCCAGGTGTGATGATCTATTACTGTAGTCTCAGCTTTGGAGGAGATAGAAACAGGAGGATCTCTGGGCTCAGTGGCCAGCTAGCCTAGCATAACGAGCAAGCCCTGGGTCCTGGTGACAGCTCCTACTCAAAAAATTAGAAGAAATGACACCCAAGGTTGACCTCTGGCCTCCACATGAATGCATATCTACACACACATGCACCCATACCCACAGGAATATATACGTACAAAAAAGTAAATAAAGTGTTTATACTTAGCTTATGTACAGTTTCCTGAGCACATAAAGTCACATAAGGAGTCCTAACAATACCTAATAGAATAATTGTTCTGTTGCATCATTTAGGGAATAATGACAAGCAGTCTGTACATATCCTTTTTAACATGTTCAGTCAAACATCATCATTCAAATCCTCGGACACAGAATCTTCATATACAGAAAGCCAGCTGTATCTAGACCCCTGGGGTCTTGAAAAGGAATACTAGGTATTTGGTACTGTTAGACCAAGAAGTCTCATGTGTGGCTTTCCTTGTGATAGCCTGCATTTTGCTCAGCCTCTGTGTTTCTAGCATATATAAAGGACTGTTTTCATTCCCCTAGTCCTGAGCTTCCTGGGGCTGACTGACAGTCATGTACATGAAGCCAAATTTAAGCCCCTTCACTGTGCTAACCCACGCTCCTCCAAAAGGCTTGTCTATGCACGTTCTCAGCAGACAAGAGGCTGTTTGATTTGACTTAACACGTGAGCATACACAAAAATGCTGATGGAATAAAACACACAACATCATATGACAGGCTACAGGCCAGAGGTTTTTGGGTCAGTTAGGAAGCTGAGCAGGAGAGAAAGAAAAAATTGGCATTCTTTCCATTTTAGGGGAGACAGCAGTGTTGGGGTACTTTATATGCCTGACATTCATGTAGTCACCATGCAACAGTTATTAGAAGGGAAAAAGTGCCCAGCTAGAGAAAATAAAATGCACTACTAACCTTTCCCATGCAGTGCATAAAACTATGCTGAGTGGTTTCCTGTTTTTATTTTTGTTTTTTGTTTGGTTTGGTTTGGTTTTTCAAGACAGGGTTTCTCTGTGTAACAGACCTGGCTGTCCCAGAACTCACTCTGTAGACCAGATTCACAGAGATCCGATGGCTCTGCCTCCTGAGCACTGGGATTAAAGGCATGTGACCCCACCCCTACCACCACCACTGCCTGGCTTGTTTTTTGTCTTGTTTTGATGTTATTTATTTTTGTTTTATGTGATGAGTGTTTGCCTGCATGCAAGCATAGGTCCATGTGCTCCCTGTGAGTGCCTGGCGCACATGAAGGCTAGAAGGTGTAAGAGCTCCTTGGCTGGAACTGTAGACAGTTGTAAGCCACTGTGCATGCTGGGAACTGAACCTGAATCCTGTGCAAGAGTAGCCAGTGCTCTTAACTGCTGAGCCAATTTGCCAGCCACCTGTGTTGAGTTTTAAAATACACATTTTTTTCTTCCAGTCCTTTCAAAAGAAATGACTATTAATAAATTGGAATTTTATTGCCACTGTCTCCTGGCCATATCTTTCCAAATAGTTCCATACTATGCTAGGTCTGGTTGCGAATGCCTTTAGTCCCAGAATTCGGGAGGCAGAGCCAGGCAGATTTTTGTGAGTTCCAGACCAGCCTGGTCTACAAAGTGAGTTCCAAAACCTCCAGGGCTACACAGAGAAACTCTGTCTTGAAAAATGAGAGAGAGAGAGAGAGAGAGAGAGAGAGAGAATACTAACACGTGTTGATCTACATGTACTCCAGCTCCCTATCTATTTAATGGACTCTGGCTTACTAACAAGTAAACTTAGACAAAGACCAAAAAAATATGTATTAGATCCCTAAATCCAGTCTACTGAAGGGAAGATCTTTCAGAACTTATATATAGACTAATCTGTTCTTTAAAAAAAGAAGATATATGTACATATTTCTATTTCCTGCCAAGGCCTCCAGAGCCCTACTAGTTATCATCAGCACATGGCTGTGCCTGGCCACAGGACTGAGCCGAAGGTGCTTTGACATTACCTCCTCTGGTGCTCTCCACAACTGAGGAGCATGCACTATTGCTAACCTATGAGGGTGACAAAATTGAGGCACAGGGAATTGTTACACAAGGTCATACAGCTTCAGTGGGAAACTGGAATCTGATCTTGGAAAGGTAGAAGTCTAGCCTCCTCTGCCCGCTGCTGTGTTGAGGATGAAGCTCAGGGCTTCTTACTTACTAGGCAAAAGCTCTACCACTGAGCTACACCCCCAGCCTCTATTATGGCTCTTTAATCATTTTTGGGGCAACTCAGTGGGATAGCAGGACCTGGGAGCCACATAGTCCTCAGGAATGCTTCCAGAGCATTAGTGGCATTTGTACCATAAGCCTGCCTTCTACCTGGCTGCACCTTGACCTGTGGAATTCTAAAATGTAGTTGGGGGCAGGGAGAGAAAGATTTGGCTAATGAGAGCAAGCAATGCAATTAATTAAATGATGAACAGACACACAGGATATCTTCCAGAAGCACATAAAAACAGTGCTTCTTGACTCTGCCACTGGCTTTATCTCGGATCTTATCTGTTCTCTTAATATACTTAGACTCTTTTCTTATAAAAGCTGCATAGACAAGCCCTTGCCTAACCTCTAGTCAAAAAGGCAAATGAGGCTGAACAGTGAGAGGAGAGAATCTTGTTAGCCCAGGCTCGACTCAAACTTTGGATCCTGCTTCTGGCTCCCAACTGCAGAGATTAAAAGGTGACTTACAAGCATGTACTACAATGCCACTCCCAGCTAAGACTCTGTTTTTGGAAGGTAATTAGAGGCATCTTGGCTGGGAAAAAAAGGGCACAAGCTATAAAAAAAAACAAAACATGAATTGCTACAATCATCAAAATAATTTATTATGTCACTATCAGCATTGTTTAAACAAAGTAGAATACAATAAAAAGTAAACCATTTTATGAAATATTTTAACTGCAAATTATATACAATAATGTGCATACTGGCTCACATTGAAAATGTATTTCTGGTATGGCATAGCATCAAAAATATTTTAAATGCGTTATTCTTTAAAAAGAAATTAAATCCAAAAAATAATTAAATCTCCTTAAATCCGGGACACTTGAGGTCCTTTCAACTGAGCGATGTTCTTCATTGTCTCTCCAAACAAATCACACCAAACATTTGTAGAACACAGGAGAATCTGCCAGGTAAAATGTGTTCAGGTACTAAACATTAATGTTAATATTGCAGGGGGCGCGCCGGGCGGTGGTGGCGCACGCCTTTAATCCCAGCACTCGGGAGGCAGAGCCAGGCGGATCTCTGTGAGTTCGAGGCCAGCCTGGACTACCAAGTGAGTTCCAGGAAAAGGCGCAAAGCTACACAGAGAAACCCTGTCTCGAAAAACAAAAAACAAAACAAAAAAAACCCCAAAAAATATTGCAGGGGGCAGCAATGTTTCGTGGTGCCACCTTTACTAACTGAGACATTAATCTGGGCTGGCAAGATGGTTCAGTGTGTAAGGGTGACTCCTGCCAAGGCTGATGGCCAGAATTTAATCCTAGGGACAGACAAAGTGGATAGAGAACACAACTGACTCCTGCAAGTTGTCCTCTGACCTCCACATGTGCGCACACACTCATACACACAGACAAAAATAAGTGAATGCGATTGTAATAAAAAGAAATATTAATCTATAATGTTCTAAAGAACTGGGAGGTAGTCCAGGACAGGTATCTGGAACAGAGCATTCCAGACAACTCCTTTCTCTGAATTCCTTCCGGACTTTGATTCCTTCGCCACAGCGTTCCTGAGCAGTCCAGCCTTCCAGAAACCCAGTTTTCAGTCACATCTCTCACGTCCTGCAAGCCTCCACAAACCCTTCTGGCCACCACACAAGAGATTGTCTGGGTCTGTCCATCCATTCTTAGCACATTGTTCTTCTCTTCAGCTGGACCTGCTTCCTCTGGCTTGTAGCATGTACGTGGCATCATGGTGGACATCCATCCCCTGCCAGAAGAAGAACCACAGTTAGCACAGTTTCCGTCCACCCCTGGAGATTGCATGATGTCAGTGCTCATCCACAGCCTCACTTCTGGAGAGTGGGATAGATATTCTAAAACTAAAAACAATGAATGCTCCTTGAAGACCAGCACCTCCCCGAGTCAGTAGGATGGCAAAGTTAGAGTTTGCAGCATACCATCAGACTAACTAATCAGACTAACGAACTAACTAGGCTTCTCTGAAAGCACTTTTCATATAAAGTTGCTGTGGCAACTGGGATGCACCGCCCACTTTGGCAGGTGCTTTTCCCCAGCCCATTACCACCACCTGTTGGCGCTTGGAGGCAACTGAATGAGCAGTAAGTCACAAGTACGCCCTTCATTCCATTTCCAACAACCTTTTGGCTACTGGAAGATGACCACAAAGAAAACCCACGTGGAGAATCTGATGCCTGGCAAGTGCTTCTGGAAAACATGTCCTGGATCAGTCTTCTTACTTTTTCTCAAAGCTGACGTACGGGACTGAAGCATCTCAGGCATGTTTGTGCTAAAAACAAACAGAAGTACTCCCCTCACCCTAAAAGGGCCATACTGAAGTGAACCGGCCACTTCCAAGAAAACCATCCCGGGCCCATCTTCCTGAGCACTGTGTTTCAGCAGAATGCAGGTTTATGAGGCAGCTATTTCTCTGCCTTTGTCAGATTCCATTGCTGGTACTGCTCCAAGAAGGTCACAGCCCACTTGTTCTCAGTTTTGAAAAATTTCAGAGTTGATTATTTGTCTCAAATAGGTAATTTTTAATGAAAAATGGGAGATTAACTCTTTCAGTTAGCTATTGCTATGTAACAGACCACCCCAAAATATAGCAGCATAAACCAATTTATTAGTAAATTAAAATAAATGACTAGCTGGGGAATGCATTGTTTCCCACCATTCTGAGGGTTGGCTGGGTGGCTCTCCCCTTCAGGCCATACCTGCTGTGGCCACTCAGGTGCTTAGTAAAGTTGTCCCCTGCTTCCACTCTGTGGGCTCTCCACATGCTGCTGCACTCTCCAAGGCCAATAAACATGGCTTACATGTCAGGACAGCCTGGGTTTCCTTAAAACGTGGCAGCCGCATTCTAGGAGAACAAAAGCAGGAACCTGGAACCAAGTGTGGTGGCTCACATCTCTAAATCTTAGTACTCTGGAGTCTGACGCAAGAAAATCAGAGGTTCAAAGCCAGCCTGGGTGAGGGTGAGGGAGAGGGAGAGGGAGAGGGAGAGGGAGAGGGAGAGGGAGAGGGAGAGGGAGAGGGAGAGGGAGAGGGAGAGGGAGAGGGAGAGGGAGAGGGAGAGGGAGAGAGAGAGAGAGAGAGAGAGAGAGAGAGAGAGAGAGAGAGAGAGAGAGAGAGAGAGAGAGAGAGAGGAGAGAGGATAATGTCTCAAAGCAGAATAGAAATTAGGCCTGGAATTGGAATGAGAGTGTCAGTTCACCTCATTTCCTTCTACTGGTCACAACAAGGCCCAGTCCAGTCCAGATGCCAGAGAGAGGGAAATAAATTCTACCTGGTAACAGGTTATGAGCCTACATGGCAGGGAGGAGTCCTGGGCCATCTTTAAAGACAATCTTCCACACAGTCACACAGGCCATCACAGAAACTCATCCCTGTGCTCTCTTTGCACTGTACTGGGGACGAGTTTCACCCCCTTTGAGCTGATGTCCTTACCAGAGGAATGCCAGTAGCAACTGCTACTTAGAGGCTGAAGATGCAGTGAGGTCGTTTAGACCCCCCCTTACCCGAGAAGGACGTGACCCCAGTCACCCAGCAAATCTCTGAACCTCAGACAGTATCGGATGCTACGTAGAACTGCCTTGCCATATATGCCCCGAAGTTTTGCCATACGGTCTCCAAGTTCCACTTGCTGGGGCCTCCTCTGCATCATGCGCTTGCCCTTCATGGTGAAATGCCAGTAAGGATGAACTGAACACAAGCCCTGCTGTGTTGCCACAATCAATCAGATCAATGAGGAGTTGCTCAGTGACTGATGGCTGGGTACAGGTGGATGCACTGGGCAGTTGGGGTGCTCTGTCTGCTTGGTGGGATGGAGCAAGACAGCCTGAGCTTCCATCACTTTACTCCAAATACAATTTAAAAGTTATGAAATGTTTACTTCCAGAATTTTTTATTCAGTGTTTTAAACCCAGACATACAAAGGTGAGTGAAACCTCTAGTGCTAGCTAGGTACAGAGTACATGATCACAGATCAATAAATGAGATGCTAGACCCACAGGAGCTTGTGAGGACCAAACCCGAGGGAAGTAGCCCTGTTGGCTCAGTACGTGGTTCAAGATTTGTGGCAAACTACTCCTGGCAGTGAGTCACTGAATAACTTTCTTTATTTCTGTCTTTCTCCTTCCTTTCCTTCCTTCCCTCCTTTCTGTCTTTCTATCTTTCTTGTGCATGTATGTGTAGGTGTGTTGCACATTAGTGTATATGCAAGCACACATTGCATGTAAGTATTTGTGCATGTATGGAGGCCAGAGGTCATTGTTAGGTGTTTTCCTCAGTCTCCACCTTACTTTCTGAGATGAGATCTCTTAGCTAGGCTGACTGACTGCTCAGTGAGCCCCAAGGATCCTCCTGCCACCACCCCACCCCATGCTGGGACTTCAGGAGCAAGCTATCCCTCTCAGCTCCTGGCTAGCCCTTAGTACAGTAAATTGCTTTTTGCCCACTCCACATGCTTTTCTAGTAGATTGGCCTTTGTTCCAGCAGCTGAGGCAATGAGCATTTTGTCCTGTTTGTCCAGGAACCACCTCAGTGATTCCTTGAGGTGAGGCCCTCAGTCAGCATGAGCAGAGCAAAGCCCAGGCCCAGGAAGGCATTGGAAATAAAACCTTTAAGGAAGGCTGTGGCAATGACTTCCAGAGGCTCCACTGAAGGGTCAGCTGCCAGCCTTACCTAGCTTTGCTCCAACCTGTTCCTCAAGTGGACTGTCATGGCCACATAGGACCCCCCCCCCCACACACACACACACAATGTCAAAGCAAATTGGAAGTGAATTTCATGAAGTTTGAAGCCTTTAAACAGGGCTTTAAAAGCTAGGGTTTTATTAATTTGAACTCACTCATGAAGAAACAACAAGAGAGGTACAAACTGAGGATATTCTGCAAACAGCCTGGACTTAACAAAATTGTCAGTATAGTAGGAGAAAAAGACCTAAGAAATGTTTTAGAAGCAAAAGAGAATGAGACCATTGAAATAGGTGATCTTGGATCATATTGAAGAAAAAAAGACAGGAAAAGTTATAAAGTATAGTACTGGTACACAAGAGGAGAATCTGAATACAGACCAGATATTAGGTATTATTGCACCAATGTGAATTTTCCCAATTTTGAGGTAAGTAAACGTCTTAGGTCTCAGAAGATGCACTGAACATTTATAGATAAAGAGGGGCTACACCCATGTATATATACCTCAAAGAGATTTAACAAAGATAGATAGGTGGATAGATAGATAGATAGATAGATAGATAGATAGATAGATAGATAGATAGATAGATAGTAGATAGAAGATAGATAGATAGATAGATAGATAGATAGATAGATAGATAGATATAGATAGAAATAGATAGGCAATTAGTTAGAAGGTAGAGTGACTATTCCTTTTCTCTGTAGATTTGACAGGACCTAGAATCAACTGAGAGACAGGCCTCTCTGGGTAGGCCTTGTGAAGGCATTTCCAGAAAGGAGTAACAGAGAAGGGAAGTCTCTCCCCAGACTGGGCAGCACCTTCTGGTATGTGACCCAGATACAAAAACTAAGGCAACACTGTGCTGGAAGAAACATCCATTCAAGCTTTTGGTTTCTAGTGCTTTTAGATAAAGGGCATGTGGTTTCTTTCACTGTGCCTGTTATTGTGGGGTTTGTTTTTGTTTATGTTTATCTTGATATGTAGCTCAGGCTAGCTGAAATCTCAGCTCCACCAGCCCAGATGAACATGCCAAGATTTGATACAGATAAGCAGTTCATGCTGAAATTATTGCAAACATGTAAATATGCTTGGAGCTTAACAACAATAATTTAATTTTTATAGTTACCAATACCTCAAAATTAAATCATTTTTAAAGATTTGCTTAGACTTTATGTACTATTCATTAATTAACTCCCAAAATTCATCAGTTGAACGAATCTCAGTATATAAGGTTTCCTATTGATTCCAATATCCTAAAGAACTTTTCAGGGAGCCTTCAGAGGATTATAAATTGGTCCAATTTCCCAATGGAATCAAATTGAAGACCCTGACATTAATCCACACACCTATTAACACCTAATTTTTGACAAAGAAACCAAAACTGTACAATGGAAAAAAAGAAAGCATTTTCAACAAATGGTGCTGGCATAACTGGATGTCAACATGTAGAAGAAGATCCATATCTATTGTCATGCACAAAACTCAAGTCTAAGTTGATCAAAGACCTCAATATAGATTCAGTTACACTGAACCTGATAGAAGAGAAAGTAGAAAGCAGTCTTTAACACATTGGCACGGGAGACTACTTCCTAAATATAACACCAGTAGCACAGACACTAAGAACAACAGTTAATAAATGGGACCTCCTGAAACTGAGAAGCTTCTGTAATGCAAAGAACATGGTAAATAAGACAAAATAACAACCTACAGAATGGGAAAAGATCTTCACCAACCCCACATCTGATGGAGGGCTGATATCCAAAATATATAAAGAATTCAAGAAACTAGACATTAAAATATCAAACAATTCAATTTAAAAATGGGCTACAGAGCTAAACAGAGAATTCTCAACAGAAGAATCTCAAATGGCTGAAAGACATTTTAAGAATTGCTCAACATCCTTAGTCATCAGGGAAATGCAAATCAAAACAACTCTGAGATACCATCTTACACCTATCAGAATGTCTGAGATAAAAAACACTGATGACAGCTTATGTTGGAGAGAATGTGGAGCAAGGGGAACATTCCTCCACTGTTGATGGGAGTGCAAACTTGCACAGCCATGTAGGAAATCAGTATGGTGGTTTCTCAGAAAACTGGAAATCAATCTTCCTCAAGACCCAATGATACCACTCTTGGGTATATATGCAAGGAATGCTCAATCAAACCACAAGAACACATGCTCAATTATGTTCATAGCAACATTATTTGTAATAGCCAGAACCTGGAAACAACCTACATGCCCCTCAAACGAAGAATGGATAAAGAAAAAGTGGCACATATACACAATGGAGTACTACTCAGCAGTAAAAAACAGTGACATCATGAAATTTGCAGGCAAATGGATGGAACTATGCTGTGGGATGGTCTGTATGTCAAATGTGTTGCTCTGATTGGTCAATAAATAAAACACTGACTGGCCAGTAGCCAGGCAGGAAGTATAGGTGGGACTAACAGAGAGGAGAATTGAGAGAACAGGAAGGCGGAGGGAGACACTGCCAAACCCTGGCAGTCCGACAGCCCACTTATAAAATAAACACACAGACACTTATGTTATTTAAACTGATTGGCCTAATGGATCACCATGACAAGCAGCATGTGAAGACACCGGTAAGCCACGAGCCACATGGCAAGGTATAGATTTATAGAAATGGATTAATTTAAGATATAAGAACTAGATAGCTAACAGCCTGATCCATTAGGCCAATCAGTTTAAATAACATAAGTGTCTGTGTGTTTATTTTATAAGTGGGCTGTCGGACTGCCAGGGTTTGGCGGGACCTGGAGGGAAAATTCTCCAGCTACAGAACTAGAAAATATCATCCTGAGTGAGGTAACCCAGACTCGAAGAACAAACACTCACTCATAAGTGGATACTAGATGTAAAGCAAAGGATAATCAGACTACAACCCACAGCTCCAGAGAAGCTAGCTAACAAGGAGGACCCTAAGAGGGACACATGGATCACCCTGGGAAGGGGAAATAGATGACATATCCATGAGTAAACTGGGGCTGGGGGGGGCAATGGAGGGTAGGGTAGGGGGGATGAGAACAGAAGGGAATGGGATGGTGGAGCTGGAACAGGGATGGAGTGGGAGAGCAATGAAAGAGATACCATAATAGAGGGAGACATCATGGGGATAGAGAGGAACCGGGTGCTAGGGA